GTCGTTTTCTGTTGTCCTAGGAGACCACAATTGCTTGTTATCAAAGGTATTGTAATTGTTGGTGACATCAGCTGTCCAGTTTTGCCGCGGGTAAGCTCTAAAATAGTTTTAGCTTTAACAGTGGCGTGCGTACAGGATATTTTTAAGAAAAAAATGGTACGACAATGGTTTTTTTCCAAATAAAAATTATTTTTGAATTCACCGTTTAATCGAAAACAAATGATCTTTCCTGAATTGGATTCCTTCGAAGCGCCATTTTTGAGTAAGAAGATAAAACCATTCTATTGCCCGAAAAAATTAATGTAATAATTGAAGTATGTAATTGAGCAATAAATATCTAGTTGATCTGGAATATGTCACTGGCTTTTGACATCATACAAGTCTCTGTTATTCAAATCTGTTCGCTGTGATATCTTTTTCATTATTTAGTTTTTACAATATTGTTAATAATGGTGAATTATTCAAATGCAGAAATGGCAGAAATGCATTACGTATATGACATTGCCGACGGCATTGATGACCAAGCCAGACGGATTTATCACCAGAGATATAATAATAATAATAATAAATGGTCTTTATTCATCATTATAAATAACTTGAGGATAAAAAAAATTTTTTAAAGATAAAATGATGAAAGGCGTAGTTCAGCCTAAGCTGCTTTTCAACGAAACCCACAAAAAAATAATACTCATACAAAATATATATATATAAAAAGATAATATGCAATACAAAACAGAACATACGAGAGCATGGCCAATGCAGTTTTTGTGAGAGCACAATTCATGCAAAAAAGAACAAGGTGACTTAAAAAGAAACATACTGGGATATTATCCTTTAAAACGTAGCGAGGTTTGCTTATACTTTAGGCCCTTGGTCGTGCAGGAGATCAGTTTTCAATCCATAAGGCTCTCACTGATGTGGTCATACTTTCGGATACCATATCGACACCTGCAAGGAAGACTATCGTAACTCAGTTTTGGTTGAACTGAGATATAGGCATTAGACGTTTTTCTGATGAATTTCGTTGCCAGAAAAATGACGATCTCATCAAAAATATGTTGCACATTGCAGTAATTCTTGTATATAGAAGGTTATAAATGGTATTACTATACAAACCTAGCGAAAATGACAATTTTCTTATAAATTTTGCTGACTTACTATAGTTTTCGTTGGATCAATTAAAGAAAAAAGTACACTTGCTCTAGACTTAGTAGGATATTTATCGAAATATTAAAGTACTTTTCAAACAAATTATATTCATCTTCCTGTTCTCCACTATCACCGTTCTCAACTTATGTATTTTAAGCACTGTAAATATTATGTCCTCTTTGCATTTTTTTGTCTTCCTTGGCTTTTAGAGAAAAATGAAAGGCAGGTAAGTCTCAGGACTGCTAGGAAGACTGTTTGCTTTTGATTTACATAGGTCTAATAACCATTTAATTTTCTAGCATCTATTGGAAGCAAGCTTGTGTAGAGCAAAGGTAGTTCCTGAAGCCGTATTGTTCTGCGGTCTCATTCTCTCATAAATAATCAATGTAGTGTCACACTTATATTTTATTTCATGAGGCTCTCATCTTATTCATTTTCAATTTTTCTCCACAATCGTCTTTGTTCTAATTTTCCGCTTTTACCTTTTATTTAATACTAATGGATTCACGACCATCCGCAGACAGGACTCTTTAGCCCTCATCAGTACGATATAGGTCATATAGGTATGTATCAGGTACAGACTTGGAGAGGAAAGAATGAAAAACAAACACGTGAGTGTCGTCTTAGCAAAACCAAGGACTGTAGTAGTTGAATTCTGGTGATGCGACAGATCCCAATGCATAACGTGCAGAAGAAGCAGATGCTATGTTTGAACCTTTTTGTTATGTTAATTCATCATTATTTATGAACCAAACCTATCTGAATTTAATGGTTCAGCAACTGCACTTAGCTTCTTTGCATCTGCCAGTATTATTTTGGTTCTTGAATTCATTTTAGTTCGATTTGATAACTAGTCTTTTCATACAGCTAATATTTGAAACGTTTTCGCTATTAATTACCGTAACCTCAAAATATGCCGCGAAAATCATAGCTAGTCAGACAGAAGGTTTAACAGTAAGTTAGGCTTTCCGTGATTTTTTGCATCGAAGACTAAAGTAACTCAATTTGATGTAGCTTTCGCGGGAACAACCGCCACTATTATACTTACTATATGACATAGAAGATTTGTTGGTTGCCTATAGTTGCATGGCTGAGATACCATATTATTCCACCAAAGAGAACCCGATAAGGTCTATCGATACCGAGTAGTAGGTCAAAAGCAAGGGTTTTTGAGTTACTATAGTCTTCGTTGCAAGGGTCGATATGCAAACCTGATGCAAGAATTTTGAATTCGCTGAATGCGTAGAATATCTGTTTGCAAAAGGGCAGGCCCATATATGCAGTCACAGTAAGCCAGTTTAGACAAAATCAAAGCTTCACATAGTTTGACCTTCATGAATTTTGATAATATACTCCTGCTGGGATAAAGTTGTTTTAACACGTTATAGGAGACTTGGCACAAGTGTCTAACATGTTTTGTATATGTTAGATCAGAGTCCAGCCATATTCCAAGATTTTTGTTTTCACTGATTATTGGCAGATACATCATTTATAGTAACTGAAAATGTGCCATGCAGATTAGGTCTTTTATTTTTATTGCCAAAAATCATGACTTGTGAATTCTTCGGATTTAGCTGTAAATTATGTTCTATAGATATGTTATATAGAGATTTTAAATCTTTATTCAGTTCAATCTGTGCAGTAACAGCTTTGGATGCGGAGAACGATATATATATATATATATATATATATATATGGGTATCGTCGGCATAATGATGTGACTGATAAAAATTAACAAAATCATGAAAGTCACTTGTGTATAAGCTGAAAAGGAGTGGACCCAAGACCGAACCTTGTGGAACACCGAAAACCTTATTCAACGAGGAAGAGTAATTATTAAGTAGCTCTCAAGAAGTAGAACCGAGTTATAAGAAAAACCGAAGTATATCAATTTTGTGAGAAGCATGTCGTGGACTAAGGTCTCGAAAGCTTTGCTGAAGTCGAGTAACACAAGTGCAATTACCTTGATCAGTTGCTCTAATAAGATCATCCGTAATCTTCATTAAAGCCGTGGAGGTGCTATGATGAGGACGAAAACCTGACTGGAAGCTAGTAATAATATTATTTTGAATAGCATAGGTAAGCATTTGGTCTTTCATGATGAGTTCTAGCAGTTTTGATACGGTAGGCAGAATACTAATCGGTCTTAGGTCAGAGAGCTCATCAGGTGAGTTACATTTAGGTATTGGCCTCACCAAAGCATGCTTCCATGCAAGACGAAATGTTCCAGATGCGATTGAAAAATTTAAAATAAACGTGATATACTCTATCAAATCAGAGGAATCTAATAGTAACATACGTAACGAAATATTATCCGATCCTACAGCACTGCTTTTAATTTTATTAAGAAATTTGAACACAGCATGGGAACTAACTGTTGTGAATCTAAAAGAATCTTCATGAGCTTGCATTACGTGGGTATCGTATTTTCTAAGCATATCAATTTGAAGTTGACTTTTAGCCAGATTTGGGGCGCTATTCAAATATGCGTTGACAGTGTTGCTATTCTTTAACTTGGGTGGTAGTTCAGATAACTTTTTTTCGCGCAGAATTTCCAGAGATCTAAGTTGATTTTTGATTTCTTTTGGTGAGGGTATAACTCAAATACACAAGTGACATCATTATTTTTAAATTATATGTACGCCAAGGAGCAGGCGGCTTACTAACCCTCACTTGACGATAAGGTGCGTGGCGATTAAAGAGAGTTTTAAGATTTACTTCAAGATGATCCACCATAGAGTCTACATCTGGTAGTGTGTAGATGGAGCTCCAATTAACAGAATCTAGATCGTTATAAAATAAATCTGCGTCAAACTTTGAATAATCGCGGTATCTTAAAAACTTCTCATATCTACTCGCCTTAGGGAAATTAATTTTAAAAGTCAAAACACAATGGTCTGAAATACCAACATCAAGTGTATCGACAGAAGTGAAGTCATCCGGATCACCTACTATGAGCAAATCTATCAACGTACTCGTAGATTTGGTTATTCTACTAGGAGATTCAATAAGCTGTGTCAAATAGTATGCCTCAAGGAAATCATACAACAGCTTGGTTTTACGATCTAGGTTCAAAATATTTATATTTAGATCACCAGTTATAGCGAACAAATCACTATCTGGTAGAAAAAGATCCACAGCTGACTCCAATTCGCGAAGCATGTCCACAACATTAGCAGAAGGGGGGCTATAGACAACACTTAATATGAATGTTTTCCGGTTAAGTTTTAGTGAGATCCAGATCTGTTCCAAGGCAGGAGCTATATTAATATGGATAATTTTACTCTGGAAACATTTTTTTGTATATACTGCAACGCCCCCACCTCTACCAATTCGATCTGCAGGAAAAAGGGTGTAACCATCAATGTCAATCAACTTAGAGTCAATTTGATCATGTGACCAAGTCTCACTCAAAGCTATGAAATCGATGTCATTATCATCAACATAGCTACGCAGCATCCCTATATTTGCAACCAGAGATCTAATACTGAGGTGAACCACATTCAACAACGATGGCATTTTCCAAATTACAAACAAAAAAGTAAACAATAACAGGAAGCAAAAATACACTAAAAGGATAAGAGATAAAAAATAATGAATATTATGTACTATGATGAAAACACATACGCAGCACCCGGAAAATAAGATCTAGAGTAAATATTTAGTCTAGTAAGCAAGAAATAGAAATTCTACAACTATAAAATTCCAACACATTAAAATATTATGATGAAAAATCGAGAATAAAAGAATATCAATTACGAAATACAATAACCTCGGTTTAATTACTTTAAAACATCCACCTATAAAAATATTGACAATAGTTGATTGCAGTGACATTAATGAAAAACTGTTCATTGATTTCTCGCTCTTTTTGAAGGCGGGATTAATACTTTTTCACCTTGTACCTTATTTTCCAGTCGCTTCGACCTTGTGAAGACTATCGCAGTAGCCGTAGTAGATGATTGTTTCGGTTCCACGGATTTCTCTAGAGTTGCTTTTTTGTCATGTGAAGGTGTCTCTTGCGTTTCTGCTGTCTTTGCCTCTTCTTCTTGTTCCGAAATATATTCTTCCAGTTCTAATTCCTCGGCACTATAAGCAACACCATTAACTAGAAGCTTATTTTTATGTATTTTTGCTGACTGTTTCTGCCCACTGGCTATCTTCAAGTGTTTACGTAGAATTTTTTGCAACTGATTATCCTCAGGTATCAAATCCGCCGCAATGGCTATATTTGTGCCTTTAAGTTTATATGCGCTCTTTATTATTTTTTGTTTAACGATGTTCCTAACTAATTCTAACTTGACTGGCCTCGGTGTGTTGCTGTTTGCTATTCCGATTCGATAGATGTTATTAATGTCTGTCTCAGTGATCGTAGCTGCAAGATTTGAATGCAAGAATGCTATCATGTCCTTTAGCAAATCTTCGTTCTGTGTTTCCTCAAGTCCGAATAATATTATGTTATTCTTCAGTTCCTTTCTTCGAAGAACAACAACCTGTTGCTTCAAATCGGCGTTTTCTGTGTCCAGGTCCTTTATTCTAGAGTCTATGTCGTCTATCCTATTCCTCTGTGTGGCTAGAGATTCCTTTACCTCTTTAAGATCACTTCTTATTTCTTGTAGGATGTTAAGGATCTGGTTAGTAATTTCACCCTGATCTTCCATACTATATTCTCCAAGAATCACAACAAAAGATCACTCGAACTAGGTATCGAAGCAAAATAGTGCAAAAAATGACAGAAGGAGCATTTACTGCCCAAGGTCTTGATGGTTTCATGCAGATATGCTTCTTAAAAAGCGTAGTGTAAGATCTTACTATTTAGTTCGATCTTGTGCCCTCGATTTCGAAAGATTAATGTAGACACAGGTTAAACACAACCGAACCGTATGAAGACTACTATATGAAAAAAAAATATCCCGATCGTGCTTTGCCAGATAGTCGAACCTTTTATAATATTCAACGTCATCTTGTTGAAACTGGTTCTGTCCGAAAAGGAACATCTGAGCCTACTTGCACACACACCGATTTTGGACGGCCTGTAAAATATCGACGGATTTTTTATCGGTAGTATCTGCTTACACACGCGCCGGTTTTTTACCGGTGCAGTGCTGATTTCCAATATTTTTTTAATGAATCCCCAACGAGTTGTCGCAATGTGGTTACTGTACCAGCGTATAAAGCAACGGAGAGTTAAGCGAAAGTTCTGGATTCATTTTTCTCTTTGGACTCCGTTTCTTTAAAATCCTCATTCAGTTCGCAGCAAACTTAGTTCCATACTTCTCTAGTAGCGTTTTTACCTTTAAATATGTTTAAATATGTCCAATGTTTTATCCCATAAAACTGGTCTTGCTTCCACTAGCGCAATAAGTATGTCATTATCGATGTTCATCTCTCTATCCATTGTAAACGTATATGTAGTCATAATCACGGCCATTAAATAATAGGTGACTGTGCAAGCTCCTATTCAAACACGTATGCCTCTATATCCGCGGTACCGGCGCATCACAGTGACAATGTCCTGCTGCTAACCCGCTTTTTTCCGGTGCCGGTGGGTGGTCGGCCAGTGTGCAAGCTTCAATGGCTCCCTATGGTTTACTATTAAAATGTGGTCGGCCGATATTTTACCGGACGCCCAAAATCGGTGTGTGTGTAAATAGCCTGAAGGTAGACTTCTAAGCGTGAGAACACCTGAAATTGAGGAAGCAGAGCTGCACGAAGTCGAAGAGCTTCCTGAAACGAGTACGAGGAAGATCGCTAGACACTTAAATATTTGAAATCAAATTGTTTGGAGAATTTTAATGGATTTTTTGTTATATCCTTACCATATTTCAAGAGTACAGGCATTACTTCCCATTGATTTTTCCGGGCGTGTGACTCTTTGTCAGTGATATCCGCAATTTGAATCAATTGTGGGCAGAAGAAAGTCCCTATGCCGTAACCGAAACCCATTTCCAACACCAATTTTCGGTTAACCTATGGACAGGAATTATTGGCAACCAATTTATTGGCCCATTGTTCTTTCCGGGACGACTTGACGGACAGACTTACCTCAATTTTCTTCAACAACAGTTGCTTTTGCTGCTTGATGATGTTCCGTTAGTAATAACAAACAATATGTGGTACATGCATGATGTTGCACCTGCGAATTTCAGTGTAGCGGTTCGTAATTATTTACAAACTGTTTATCCAAATAGTTGGATTGACCGCGGTGGGCCCCAAGAATGGCCACCAAGGTCCACAGACCTCAACAGTTCAGATTTCTTTTTGCTGGGCTAAGTTAAGACGCTAGTGAACACGTCCCATTAACACTGTAGAGGGGTTTATTGGCTTACCGTTTTTTTCTTAATAAATATCGGAGTCAATACCCGTACGCACGCCACTGTTAAAGCTAAAAATTATTTTTGCATTGAAAAATATGCAACTTTATTAGCTTTCACTACGTACTAAATATCAGTGAAATATCTGTAGCGGTTCTGAAAATATTAATTAATTTCCGTTTTTTTCCTAAAACTTAAACACCCCGGGTTTTTGTAAGGAAACATTTTTGGACCATAGTTTATGAAGCAAACTAACATTAATTTTTCATGTAGATTAAGGAACATCATTAAGGAACACCCTGTATAAGAAAAGTGCCTTGAGAAGGCTTTTGAGGATTTGGGATCCAATATCTTATATCACTTCGGCTCACAGATTGGTGACCCGGAAAAAACTCAAAATAAAGGGATGAATAGGTGCAAAATATATTTAGTATATAGATAACAGAAATAGGTGTGGTAATGAAGTTTGAACTTACAGCTCACGAAGACTTGAAGCATAAGGTACCAAGGAATCACTTTTCAGTACCTCGAAGCATTCTGCGTCATCGATCACCCTGAAAACAAAACAAAAGGTCAACATGCATATTTGTCATAATTGGATCCTCTAGATGGGTAATGTGTTTATTGCATTATCTACCAGGAATAAAGCAGTATTTGTAGTATGCCCACGCTATATTACTACAGAAAAGGGTTATGTTTTCCAGACGGGAAATGCACGTATTTGGCCAAAAATACTATTTCACCTCCGGAAGTCCAAGCGGCTTGATGGATTTCGACATATTACCTACGTGTCTATTGAGGGCGAGTGGCACGAGACATACTGAAATTTTGTAAAATCAAAATGGCGGATTTCAATCCAGAAACTTGAAAATTGAGATTTCTATGTCACGGGCTACAGCTTAAACAACTACTACTATTCGTCACTATTCGTCAGAGCGGTCCGGTGGACCTTTGCTCTTAGTTAAAAGTCTCGTTGGTCTGCTAGTCTGTCCCAGATACCAAACATGTTTAAGGGGAAAAGGGAAAGAAGGAAAGAAAGGAAAGAAGAAACAGAGCAAAGAAAAGAAGCAAATAATTTGAAATAGCTTAAGCATTATTGCTTTGACTACTCGAATTATTTTGTAACGCCAAAAAATAATTTTGGTCGGTTTTGTATACTGAAATAATGTTGGCTGGTCTGAATTACCAATTCAATTTTTATCACAGTGCGAGGCGCGGCCTGAAATGTTTGCGAACTTGCTCGACTGTATAGTCTACTGAATCACGCAACAGAGATTTGCTGTGCGATTCCGCTTGATTAAGCTTAAACAACTTGATGGATTTTTTCATGACTAGATTTGACATGCTAGTTCGATTGACATTGGGAATACCGAAATTCAGAAAATGGCGGGTTTTAAACTCTAACTTTAAAACTTACCTTCACGGGTTGCAGCCCTAACAGATTGATGAGTACTGACATTTAAGGTGTCCTTAGATTCTCTTTTCATCATTTTCAGTTACTGTAGTCGTGTTTTTCTTTTGTATTTTTGAAAAGTGTACTTGTTTTAACATATTTATCTCAGATTGCCATACTATCCAATGCCAGTGATTGATGTTGCACTCCAGCACCAAGACCAATACTAGCTTAGTCTTGGCTTTGAAAGATCATTGAAGCCTTCGTTTTACTGTTAAATAGTTCCATGTTGCTTTTAATGACTAAAAGTAGTAACAAACTTGGTATTCGATGTATAGTGTTAGCAGTTCTTTTGGTCTAAGTTCGTTATTTTAAAAATGGATTATAATAATATTAATGGGACTTGGTGATAATCTCTTCTGACTTATAAACTTAAACATTATGTAGCTCAAGGTTTTTAATGTATTTTGGTTAATAGTATTATTAAAATAGGTGATTTCTGTTGTAGATCTAAATTAGCAGCAGCTACAGTGCGTGCCGCAGAACGCCTCAAATTCTATGTGTCTAGCAAAAATTGCTGCAGTGCCGTCATGTTTAAATAATGTTTTTGATTTTTTTTATAGTTAACTATATTCTCAAGAAATTTCTCCAAAAAATATATATTACAATTTTGTCTTCTTGACATGTAGTACAACATTAGGAGTATAATAAAAAAATAATTTTATATTATATTTTCAATGCTTTAAGATAGCATAAACAATTTTGGGAAAAAACCTACTACTGTTGTTGGGAGAAAGTGAACCGTTTTCGATCGATAGGGGCATTAAGTGCTCTGTGGAGTGACGCTGTTGGAAGGAGAATTTCGAGGTCCACAACTCATAGAGAGGCCCACAAACTGGGATTTAGCACTTGCAAGGTAAGTTTAAAAAAAGTGAAGTAAAAACCCTAAAGTTGCACAACTTGTTTACAGGCCAAAGAAAAGCCACTATTAACTCCACTGCAAAAGAAAAGTCGGTTTAGATGGGCTAAAGAACATAGACAATGGACACCTCAACAATGGTGTGCAATACAATGGAGTGATGAGGCCCGATTCGAAGTTTGTGTTGGTGACAGTCGCAGTAGAGTTATTCTCAAAAAAATGAAGCACTCCATGTTGACTGTCTGAAGAGAAAAGTGAAATTTCCAGCATCCATTATAGTCTGGGGCAGTATGTCATCAAAAGGAGTAGGAAAACTTCATTTTAATGATGGAAATTTGGATAAAAACAAATATTTGGCAATTTTAGAAGTATCGCTTTTACCAGTGATGGAAGAATGTTTGACATTCGGCCAAGATTTTGTGTTTCAGCAATATGGTGCAGCGTGCCATACCTCAAAAAAGGCTATAAAGTGGATGGAAGAAAATAATGTACCACTTTTGAGATGGGCTTCTAGCAGTCCAGATCTGACACCTATTGATACTTTGTGGCACGAGATGAAAAAGGTTCTACGACAACATCCTGCTCGTACAATCACCGAACTGAGACAAAAGCTTCAAGAAATACGGGATTGTTTTACACCAAATTTTTTGCCAAAACTTGGTTAGCACTATGCGCCAAAGAATTTCAGCTCTAATAAAAAATAAAGGTGATGTTACCCAATGGTAGTCTCTCAATTGTTGCTTTGTTAACTTCGCGCATTTATCCGCACATTGTTTATTTGTTCAGATGTTCTATTAGTTATAGGTCTAAGTGATTTCAAATATGTATTTTTTACGACTAGAGTGTATCTAAAAAGTTTTTGAGAAAATAAATTGTAATACAGGGTGGTCCATAAGTCCTTTGAAATTTCAAATTTGAATAAAATTTAACGGGTGAGCGTGAGCGGCGCGGGCGAGGTGGGGGCAGTATCTTCAGTGTCTGGGAATTCAGTCGCCATGGAGTGTTTCACTGGAGCGGATCGTGCTTTTTGTGTGC